TGATTTTTGTATCTACTTCTTTCTTATAAACAATGTATGTCAATGAATGAAGTACACTTATCATTATTATTATTAATTATTACTATCAAGTACAAGGACAGCTACATATAACTCAGCGTTCCTTGTGTTAGTTTGTATTTTAGACTCCTTTGGGAATGTTAAGTGAAAAGGTGGGCTCCAGTGAAATTCCATAATCTGTGATATTGAAATGAAAAAATTGGTTTTCATCCGTATTTTATCTGCCTTCAACAATCCATATTCTTTATTTAAAAAAAATGTGATTATAAATATTGAAACTATAGGCTGAGTATTTTGTGAAAGATTATGTTTCATGTCTCATGATATAACTTTTTTTTTCAGATTATTAAGATTATTTAATGAATGGAAACTACACCCAAGGCAAAAGGGCGGCCTAAATGCTATAACTGCGGCAGAGAAGGACCTTTAAGGCGGGACTGTCGATCACGTTCAACAACCGACGATAGAAGAGACTGGCGTTGGGGATCACCCGAACTGGATCGTCGGGGTTCGGAAAACTAAATTCAGCCAGTGTTAGGAGGGGTACATCGGCTGCTGCATCCCAAGCTCCCAGGTATTCGATTTCCACGATAGGACGAAAGAGTAACCGCTTAGTTGTCGACGGATTTCCGAATAATCACCAGTGCTTTTTCACCGTCGATACTGGAGCAACGAGGTCAGTAATGAGAGCCGACATTTCCAACACAAGCAGTTTGAAGAAGTTATCAATAGTACTGGTTCTGGAAACAGCCACTGGAGATAGATTAACCATTTACGGAGAAGCTGAAGTGAGACTCAGGCTTGGAAACTGCGAAATAGGAACTAAGGTATTAGTGGCCGACGAATTTATTTTGGGACTAGCCATCATGTCCCCTTATGAATTCGTGGTGGACATAAGGAACAAACTGTTGAAGGTTGGAAATGAGGAAATTCTGCTCGACGTGCCCTCTCACCCTTATGACAGTGCCAAGGTGGTTACACTAAAATATTCCAGAATCTCTCCCAACACCGAAAAAATCATTCAAGCGGAAATTGCTGGACCTGGCGGCTTCGGCACAGCATTGATAGAGCCATCCAACGGCTCAGTAGCAGGAATTTTCGTGGCTAGATCTCTAGTAAATGGTAACAATTAGACCATTCTAGGAAAAAAATCAACCCTGATAATGAAAGGGTGCCTCTCAAGAAAGTGCAAGTAATAGGCACCTGCGAACCGATAGTGAAAATCGACCGAATCGAGGAAGAAGTCCCTCTACAGCATCCTCAACAACCCGCAAAGGAACTCATCGACTCTTTTAGAAAGACGTGGAGCCATCTGTCAGAAGAACTTTCCACCCGACGTGACAAGATAGCGGGCAGAGACTTCTTCATCGACAGCTGTGATAGGGAGATAAGCTTCCTTCCCTCCCGCTGCTTTGGGTTCCCTCTGACCCGGAGGGTAGCAACTTGTAAGAGTCTCTTGTCCAGAGATACGGATAGAAAATCTAAGGAATCACCTGACCATGGTGTGGTACAGTTATTAACAGCTACCTTGACACTACCTTCATGACAAGGCAAGATATCATCGTAGCGCAGAAGGAGGATCCGGCCTTGAAACCTGTACGAGAATGGATTGATAAAGGAGTGAAGCCGGAATAGAAGTCCAAGTACGGCCAGCAGGAAAAGGGTTAATGGCTCCAATGGGACTCCATGTGCATTCTAGATGATGTACTCACTCGAAAATGGGAAAGCCCGATTGGAAGAACCTCCAAATTCCAAATAATCCTTCCAAAGACGTGTACCCCGAATATACTCGAAAAGCTCCACGATGGTCGCTCTGGAGGGCATTTTGGAGTGAATAGAACTCTAGCGAGAGTGCGTGAGAGGTACTATTGGGTCAATTGCCGCCGAGACGTGTAAGCGTGGTATTAGCACTGTGGCCTGTGATCTTCGAGAAAGGATCCGAAGACAAGGCAAAGAGGGAGGTTGAAGCAATACCTCAGTGGGTGTCCTCTCGAGAGAATCACATTTGACATTCTGGGACCACTTTCTAGGACTACATCCGGTAACAAGTACCTTATGGTTGTGATGGACTATTTCTCCAAATGGCCTAAAGTAGTAGCCTTACCCAACCAAGAGGATAAAACGGTGGCAGAAGCCCTGTTGCAGAACGTAATTGCCAGACACGGAGTACCCCAGGAACTACAATCGGATCAGGGCCGCAACTTTGAATCGTATTTATGACTTTGTTGGGAATAAAGAAAACAAGAACAACTGCTCTTCTTCCACAGTCCGATGGAATGGTCGAGAGGCATAATCGCACCATAAATAACTACCTATCGATGCTTGTTTCCGAATATCAAAGATACTGGGATAAGTTGGTTCCTCTCTTTCTCTTGACATACAAGAGCTCTCAACATGATGCGACAGGTTAAACACCATCCATATTGTTAACTTGTCGAGAACAAAAGCTTACGATAGATGTATTGTGTGGAACCTCTTAAGATGTTTCTCAAGAGGTACCTATCTCAGGGTATGTGAATGACCTGAAAAAGAGACTGGAAATTGTACACAAAATTGACAGATCAAAATTACAGCTTTCCAGCAGCAGGATGAAGATATGATTTGACAAAAAGTCTCTGCCAGTGATCTTCATAGAGGGCGATGCAGTGTGGCTCTACCAACCCCGACGTCAGAAAGGTTTGTGTCCCAAGTTGCAGAGACCATGACAAAAATCTTACTTGGTAACCAAAAAGATAAACGATCTGGTGTACACAATGCAATTGTCACCCAGAAGCGAGCCTAAAGTTGTCCACATAGAGAGGCTGAGTCCTTACATGGGTCGTGATGTTCCCTGTTGGAATGTTGTTCGGGGCGAACAACCTCAGGGAAGGAGGTAGTGTTGTAAATCATGCCGTAAAGAAAAAAGCGCCGGCCGCCACTGGTAGTCATAAATCAATTGTGACGTTGCCTAGACCGGCCAACGTTTCGCGGTTGTTCTAAGTTCGCACCGGTTCGATAGAATTCCGACGAATATTCCATCGGCTTCGATGGATTTCTGACAAAATCTCCACTGGTTTCGAGATGGTTCGTTTGCCGCATATAAACGCTATCCACGAGCATATTGAGACAGTCAAGTTGAAGTGACAGTGCGGTAAGTGGAGCGATCTAATAAGGTGATAGATAGTTGAATAATAGTTGAAGTTTCAGTTAAAGTGTAGTCAATTATTGGTAAACCCGCGGGAAAAACATAACATTACCATCTATATGCTTCTGGTGAAATTGGTAGGTGCTATTTAAACCCTCATTTCATTCTTACTATTTCATTCTTACTATTTCATTCACATCACATTCAGCTTAACACAAACACATTACAGTGTTGGAGATCCCATTCTGGCAGGCCATGACAAACCCGTCAGTTTTCAACCCATTATTATTATTGAGTACATTGTCATATGAAGAACATCTTGCATATTTCCCATCATCACTAAATGTAAAGGAGAGATGTTGAGGAGAAATTGATATGTGTTCTGACCGAGTGGGTAACTTATATAAAGATTTTTCATTGCACAGTACATTCCAGCTCCTGTCCCAAGTTTTCGATCCATCTGTATACAGGTATTTCTGCCGAACATATTTTGGGTCTAAGACTTTAACCGTAAAGGTTGGGTTGAACCTGTGTGATGTTCGTTTCTACACAAAAAACGAAATTTCTGTTTCAACCGATCCCATGTAACTCGGCGAGTTTTCCAGTATGAATTGGCCCACCCTTGCTTTCCTCATTATCACTAGATATAAAAGAGAGATTCAAGTGTGTTTTGCAATGCAGTTGTTGAAGTGGTTTTCATTGCTTCCATTATTCCCAGTATTGAAGAGTTGTTACCATCTTTACCATCTATATGCTTCTGAGAAAATTGGTAGGTGCTATTAAAACCCTCATTTCATTCTTACTATTTCACACATTCAATTAAGCTGAACACTAACACATTAGTGTTGGAGATACCATCCTGGTAGGCCTTGATAAACCCCTCAGTTTTCAACTCATTATTATTATTAAGAACATTGTCATATGAAGACCATCATGCATATTTATGTAGACTATAACTCTTATTTCAATGTCATATTATTGAGGATATCATCCATATGTACGCAGACTAAGAATCTTGTACCAATAACATATTTACAAGAAAATTATATATTTTGTTTTGAAACAAATATATTAGCAATATTTGTAGGAATGACAAGGAAGTTGTGTCTAGGTAATTTACTTCGAATCTGGTTCACTCTACACCCCCTTCTATCTGTTTTTTATTGCAAAGCCTTGATAACACATATGTTCAAATCCAAAGTTGTCATATTCCCTCAAAAACTAAAGACAAAACTGTAAAAACTAAAATAGAATCTTTGGAAAAACTTATACATAACTATGATTTAGATAGAAGTATTAGATTTCATTATGTGAAATACATGACATATACCCTACACCCAATGCATAACATTATTATCTCATAATTGTTTGTTTTAATATGTTTATTCAAGAACCAAATAAACTGTTTCTAAATTGAACTCTGAATTTTATGAATAATTGTATAAATAAATAATTAACACTGAAATCATATAGAAGGTATTTGCACCCAGAATACCTATAGAATTAATTATGGGACTCTTGTCTGCACCCAGTTTGTTTTGCAGATCCCTATAATAACATTACGCTCAATTTACCTCCGTCCTCCCAGGTTCTTCAATATGTAATATTAAAAAAAATAGTAAGTAGTATCTGTTATAAAGTTAAGCTTTCTTCATCTCCTGAAAAAGCCAACCTGGTTGATGAAACGCACATCGAGAAGAGTATTGAAGTCATGGTGATTGAGAAAAAAGTGTTTGATTTTGGAATTATTCTATGCCGGTGGTTCCAGTTTTACCTTTAAAAACTTGCTTGTAATAATAAGAGGCACCCAAAAATAAATGGCACTTTTGAGAATCATACAATTTGGTTCATAGTAACATTAACTCAACTTACCTCTGATGCTTTCGAAATCAGGGCCAAAAAACTGATTTCCAATAACAATAGGTTTGCCTGACGATGCAGACTTAGGAATACTTTGTGGTGTCTCAAGTTCAGAATCTTCATCAGATCTGTGAGTGGCAGTAAGAGGTCGTTTTTTACTATAGCTGAAAATCCCTGGACTTGGTACAGATATTGCACTTGGAGATTGCCCCTCCTCGGGCCTGAATTGAGGTAAAGCAGTAAATTTTTTTTCAAAGTTAACTTGCTCGAGCACTCTGACAAAAATAATTGTTAATGAATTGGATAAAAAAGGATTATACACTTACCTGTCCATTCCATCTTCTATAGTTCTTTTGAAAAAGCTTTTTTTAGTTGAGGGAGACACCAAATCAATTTGATTGCATTCATCCGGCAATGATGTAGGGGCGGAAGTGAATTCTTGATTTTTTTGAAGGTTTTTATTAGCAAAAACGGCCGCTAAAACAACAATTTGAATGAGGATGAAGTTGAAAAAATAAAATACAATCATGATTCTCACCTGCTGACTGTCTTCTCTGCAAAGGTGCTTTTCCGAGCTGAGCAGGTGTTGGAGCTAATTTGAATTCATGAACTGGTTGGTCAGATAAGAGTAATGGTTCGCTTGATGGTGGCATCATAGCTGTTGGAGTTGAAAATGAAATATCCTTTTCTTTACCCTCAGAGACATGCAGAACTCCTGAAAATATACAATGGTTGAGAATCAAAGTTTGATACTTCCGATGATAAAAATTCACACAATCCATAACGATAATCACACAAATAAATGGTACGAGCCTAACCGATGACGCTATCGTGTAGCAAAAAGCGTCTCAAATAAATTTATAGTGTGAAAATTGTCCAATTATCATCATGGTAATATTCTTGATCGCAGACTAAAATACAATGTACGTCACTGTTTTTACTTCACACAAGTTTTACAGATTACTTGAGATGCTTGTAGGGGAATTCTGGCTACGTATAAAATAAACACAAGGAAAATCCATTAGAAATTACTGTGTATTTTCCTAGGACTGCAATAATGTTTCACGGATATTCTGAATTTGAAAATTCTGAGAGTTTTCAAGTTAACAAAGCAGACAAAAATGAACTGGTATTACCATTACCTCAGAAAATCCTGAGTTCAAAAATTAGTTTATTATCATATTATATTAGTTTTTGGGCAGCAATATCTGTCTGCATGCACTCTGAAGTGCCGAACTTGAAAAAAAACTATACTCGGATTATTGTTCCAGATCCAGTGGAAAATGCCATTAATGTTCTGAATTCACATGTAAGCAGACGAGAATGATCGAGTGTAACAAAGTGAAAAGAATACTTTCATTTGTTATCATCATTAACTCAGTTGAGAGTACACTATTATCATTGTTTGGTCATCATAAATGTAGTTAGTTGTATGTTGTCATTATTGTTTCTCATCCATGCTATAATGACTAGTATCATTGTATCAAATGTTAGGTAACCTTAAATAAGAATAAGCTGGAGATGGGGAGATGAATCACTTGATATATATCTGAACTGTTGAGAGGTGTATAAATATAAAATGCATTTAAAGTATGTTTCATTGTGGAACTGGTCTTAATTACCTGTAACATTAATGAAAAAATATTAGTATACTGTTAGATACTTTTCACACTGCTCTGATTTACTAACTTACTAATTTAGAGTAAGTAAGTATTTCAAAAGAGCCAAAATTGATTTCATTCCGCAGTTCTCGTAATCTTTGATGAAACAAAAAACGAAACAACTATTGTACTCACCGGAAACGTTAGAATACGATTTATTGGAGGTAACCACTGTATTCTGCATTGATTGATATTCAACTTGTGATGATCCAGACACTTTATTTTGAGCTTGTGTAACGATGACAGATTGTGTATGAGGTGGCTTAGATAATAATTGAAGGCTCTGTAATGACAAACTTCGACCAGTGGAATCAGATACAGGAATGTTGAATGATGGTTGCATATATAGTTGTACTGGAATATCAGAAGCAGTTGAAGCTACAACAACAAATGGTTGAGAAGGTTCACTTTCACTTGTCAAACAAATAGTTGATTGCCCGCCAATGACAACAGTCAAAGGCTGTGCTGGAAAATTCTGGTCAATACTATTGTTCACCTGAATAACATTTTGTTTATTCTGCGGTTTTAGTATGGCAAATGTAGGGTTGGTTTTGCTTGCTATAGTGTTTGTCTGTATTGTAGATGAATTTACCCACTGGGATACATCATTTGTCTTATTCATAACTGATGTTCCTGACCAATTCTCTGAATTGGAATTAGTTTCATTTTTGAATTCATTCTTCATAACTTTGGGTGATGCGGGCATAGTTTTGAAGGCGCCTCCTGTTGGTTGAAAACCCAAAACACCAGATGGATTTACAGGGGAGTAATGGAAATTCAATGCATTGGGATTAGGTACTGGACTATACTTGGAGGTTTCGGTTGACGCCATTCTTGCTTTTATTGGTTTAGGTCTACAAGTTACTTCTGTACAGTTGATAGTCGTCACAGGGCTGAAGCGACGAAACACACGGTTTTCTAAAGATGAATCCAAATCACTTTGAGATTCTGAATCTGAGTCAGTAACTTTTTCTTTGCATTTCAGATCTATGTCTATAGCTGGATCTTCACATATTACCATTTGATCGTCGTCCGAAATATCACCAGTAGGATCAAGATCTTGAGATTGTCGTGGAGGGTCTGTATGTGGAGGGGAATGTAACCTGGGGCTCGCTGGCAAGTCCCCAGTTTCACCAATATCCCCTGATGAACTCAATTTGCTCCTTCCCGAGCCTGTTGATGATTTTCTTCTGTCCTTATTGCACCTTTAACAGTTTTTATATTAATGATAATAATACCTGTAGAAGCTCAATAGTGATGACGATGTGAATGCTGAGTGGAAGAGTTATCCGAATCAATAGTTGATTGGATTAATGATTGTGTCAATGATAGAATTAACAGGAGTACGTGGATTGTTCAAAAAATAAGATGAATGTTCAAATTTCGCCGGCTACCTATATTCGATTAGCGATTTTTTTATTCTTTTATGTTGGTCACAAACATATGTTTACAGTTTCAGCTGTTGAGTATGTTTATTTTGTTGGTGAGAGGTATAAAAATTGAAAGTGTTTTGCGTGTTCGGCGATTTGGTGCTATCAAAAAAATAATCGAAGAATTTGCATCAAATTTTGCTTGAAAAATGGAATCAAGTGCTCAAAAATACTCGAAGTGTTGACAGTGGCATGCGTTGATTGTATTCTGAGCCAGAAAAATATTTACAAGTGGTACAAGCTTTTCATAGAAGGTCGAAAAGATGTGAATGACGACACTCGCCCTAACATATCAACAACCGGTGAAAATGTTGAGAAAGGAAAGGAAATTGTTAGGAAAAATCTTCGAATCACTATTAGAGAAGTTGCTGAGTATGTCGGCATATTGGTTAGTTAATGCCATGCAATTTTTTTTGGAATTTTTGGGCATGAAGAGTGACAGCGAAGTTCATTCCAAATTGCCGAATTCAGACAAAAAAAAATCTGTCGTATGAACATCAATCAGAATTTGTTTAAAAGGGTCATAACTGGTGACGAATCAGGAGTACATGGTTATGACATCGAAACCAAAGTCCAATCGCCCCAATGGAAGAGCCCAACAGAGCAAAGAAAAGCACGCCAAGCTTGATCGAATGTCAAGATTTTGCTCACTGTTTTCTTTGATTATCGTGGTATAGTGCATCGGGAGTTTTTGTCACATGGTCGTACAATCAATAAGGGGTATTATCTTCAAGTATTATCAAAACGTCCAGCATTGTGGAAAAAACTATTTGTGGCTTTTGCATTACGATAATGAACCTGCTCACTCGTCATTGCTTGTTCGTAATTTTTTGGCCAAAAACAACACCGTAATCATGCCTCAGCCACTGTATTTACCAGATTTGACCCCCTTCGACTTTTTTCTGTTCCCATGATTGAAGAGACACATGAAAGGACGGCGTTTGGACGGTTGATGAGATAAAAACTGAATCGCTAGGAGAGCTCAAGAACATACCAAAAAGTGCATATCAGAACTACTTCCAGTATTGAAAAAACCGCTGATACAGATGTATTATATCTGAGGCGGACTGCTTTGAAGGGGACAGAATAGAAATTGATGAGAAAATGAATATTTTTTGAGAAAATGAAAATTCACCTCATTTTTTGAACATCTCAGAACAGAGGGATGATTTTACAAATGGGTGTTCAAAATTGCCAAAAACAATACAAAAACATGAAATGTCAATAGTAATACATTACCATTTCCATTCTGGATGTGCTCTGAAGTGAGCGTCCTTCACTTCAGAGGCTAATTCGTGGTATTTTTTTTTCTCAGCAGCACCTAAAGCATACCACCATTCTCCTAAAATTTTCGAAACAGTCCTATTGTCTTGATTAGGGTGTCGTTGGTGAACCAAACCCCTGTGTCTTTTCGAAAATATCATAAATGCATTCATAGGTCGTCTTATTCTTTCCTTTATCTGCAAAGAAATTATGTAATTTAAATAGATTACATTTAAAAACTAATAAAATATATCTACTCCATAGATAACAGCCATTCTTTTCATCAATAACTTGGTTGACTCATTCAAACACAAAGTAGTAAATATACAGACTAACTAGTTCATTATGTTAAACGAAGGTAGTCAGCCACTGTCAAATGTAAAATGATTTTTCATCACTATATTTTTTACACTATCGATATAATGAGTTCTCATTTGATAACATTGTCAATAATGTCAAAATTTTCAATTCGGAACAGTTCAATTACAATTAAAAGGATTATATTAATGCTCATTTAGCTGCACTGTAAAACATAGGGTCAGAGTTGGCTACTGCTGGAGACTGCACGAGTCCCAGCTCTCGATCATTACAGGAGTCTAGTTGGAGTAGTGTAAAAACAAAAGTCTCGACATTTATTGATGGTTTCTGAAAGTAGGATTTCAATCAAAAGTTGTGAGGTTTAGTGCATTGAACCCTAGGATAAGACCCAGTATGTTATTTTTCCAACTGCAGCAACCGTTGAAAAGTGTAGAACATTTTAAAACATTGTCTCCAAGATTTCTTGATGCAGTAACGGTTTAAATTCAATATCGAGTATTAATTATGTTGTCTATTCTTTTGGATATTTCAACATTAGGATGCATATCCTATCAAAACTCTCAAGTAAACTGTATTTCTTGTTTTATTGGTATGCTTGAAGTGTCTTCTATTCCAGTGTAACTAAGTTGGTCTACAGTTATAAGTGTTGAAATGAGTATAGTCTTTCTGGAAATTTCTGTAGATGGCGTTCGAATAGGAGATTTAGATTTGGTAACCCTTTTCAGCACTCACAATCCAATTTCTATAAAAAAAAATCAAGAAATGACCTGCACCCGCAAATCAAGAGCTAGTCATTCTAACTGGGCACAAATACCATATTCTTGCTCTAAATCAAGAAAAGAGTAAAGAAAGGTAAGTGTGTTTTCAGCAACTGCAAATTTTGTTTGAAATGGCAGGATTTTTCATATTTTTTTAAAGGAGTGCTTACACTTAGTATGGTGGTACCTATGTAAACCCGCAACAGCATGAAACCTGAGTTGGAGAGAGGGCCTTTGAAGTCCTAACGCATGTGAAAGTATGCGAGCAGCTTTTGAGTTGACTCATAGTTTTCACTCGAATTTTTTGAGGGCAGATGAATTGAGCCAAGAATAGGGGCCTGGAAATTGGCACTTTTATCTTTATTTCAGTATCAACCTGTAATAATAGTATTTTGTTTATTGTCATTACCCATCAGATTGAGGTTTTGCTCAGTTTAGTGAACTGCTGTTTCTGCAGCATCGTTCCCTACCGGAAAATGCAGAGATCTGTGATATAATTTTCATTTTCTGATCAGTCTCCACTATTCAATTCCAAACATTTTTCGTCAATTACAAATCTGCCAAATAAGGTAAACGAGTTAATACTAACAAAATGATCGAACTTTTTGTCATTTCGAGAGCTAAAAACAATAAATTTACTTATTTTTCTCTCATTTATTCATTACTTCAATTTTATTTATCGTTCACAATAAAATCCAATAATTTTCTTTGTTTTTTTTTATCCCTTGGTAAAAAGAACCGCTAGAACCTGATGTGGGATATGTGTGATCTTCGCACTATTTCCCTATTTTAATTTAAAAAGTAAAACAATACCAAAATAATCATACCTAATAAAATAAATGGATCATTTTTGAATAACTGATTGTTTTTAGTTCCAATTTCCATAGCAAGAGCATAAGAAAAAGTTAACAGTGACTGAGCACACCCTGAATAAAGGTCGCCTTTTAAAATTCGAGTACATTCAAGATTCAACAACTACGTCTGCACACCATACCAGTTTGTACAGATAACGGAGAAAATACTGATCTATAATTGACAGGAAAAGACTCATTAGCAAGACACCGCCTTGTACTGCAGGAATATAAATATAATCTCCAGGAGAAATAAAACTAAGCTCTCAGAAATACAATATACATATGAGTTTGAATTTCTGATGATTTGAAAAAGTGCTTGTTTTTGGATTTATTCTACATCAGAGGTTATAGTTTTACCAACTCGTATTGGTGAAAAGATGAGAAGCATACTCAAATTGAAGGATGGTCATCAATCCCGGTGATTAAACAAATATAATAATCGAATTATTATTGTTGCTTATGCATAACTTGTGCTCATAAGGCATAAACATTTTTACAAAACTGTCGAAAAATGAAATTTCTCTTTTCAAAAGAAAAAAGAGAAACACATGCCAAAGTACACTGGAATGTTGAAATAATGCCTGGTTCTATTTTCTAAAGCTACATAAGCACCAAATAAAGATGTGTAATTTAAAAAGATCTTATTAAGATAAGAACCTTATTTCAAAAATCTGTAACATGCTTTTATCATTTTTTGACGATCAAATTTGTACAAACATAAAAACGGCAAAAATTAAATGTGGTAAAGAAGATGAAAATACTCTAAAGAGGAAATAAATATTGTACTAGTTCATTCAACGCTAATTTGACCAATAATAATTCATTCTGTATCCAACCCAGCATAATTCATAATTTCAAGCAGAAGTTGAAAGGTTTAGTGCATTAAACCATAGGATAAGACTCGGTATGTTGTTATTTTTCCAATTGCAGCAACCGTTGAGAAGTGTAGAACATTTCAAAACATTGTCTTCAAGATTTCTTGATACAGTAATGGTTTAAATTCAATATCGAGTACTGATTAGTTTGTTCATGCTTTTGTATATTTCAACAATAGGGATGCAAACCCTACCAAAACTCTCAAGTAACTGGATTTCTTGTTTTATTTCTATGATTGAAGTTATTCAAAATTATTATATTGAGTTTCTTGTAGCAAAAATGGTTAGAACGGTCGTTTTATTTTGGGGATCCATTTAATTTCTAGCTTATAAACTGGGATTCGAACCAATCCCTAACATTTACGAAAGTGTATGAATTGTGAAGGTGCTGACTTTCCTTTCCCGAAAGTAGAAAAAAGGCACAAATTTAAGGGTTTATTTTGAGTGATATCAATTTTCAACATGGATTTAACAATATAATTTATGCTTCGATTTGACAGATTCCTGCAGCGGAAACAATTCGCTAGTTATGGTAGCAATTACCTCTACAACAGTGCATCTGCACAAGAACAATAGTTCAAAAGTTCAAGAATGTGTTATCTCCACTTTGAGGATAAATTCTTCATAACGTTGAAGAAAAATCGTTAAAAAAAGAATGCTATCCTAACAATTCCTACTGGTTGGAGAATAATTATGATTTGATAATGAATATTTTTTAGGTGAACCAATTTTAAGTAAATTTATTCAACGAGTTATTCATCAGAATTCTTTCAGAAATCAACTAAATGGTCTCTTCGTAACGGCCAAACTCACATCAAAATACTGCAGATAAAACTCTCAATTTTGTGTCAGGAAGTACTTCAATCTTTTCTGAGAAACTAAAACTGAATAGATGTGAACAATCCCGTGAAACGTGTGAAGAAGCGATGGATCAACAAGAGTCTGAAATAATTGTAGCCAATTGTCAAGATAACGGCTCTTTGTCGATTCAATTCAAACATCCTCTTATCTTTCATGTAATACACCCAGAAAAAAAAGTGAAGGAACAAAAAAGTCGATTATTTTGAGAAAAATCAAACCGAACATATGTCCAGCAAGGAATGGGGTTCAAGTAGAGAAACATTATCCTGAGTCAACTGTAAACTTAATAAAATTCCAATTGACTGAATCTCATGAATCTACTGAGGGAGTCAGGTACATGAGTTGGATGAAACAATATGCTCTAGCGGGTTATTTGTTGGGCCTATAATGAAACCTTTCAGTTACCGTCTGAATCATTTTTGGGAAGAATGAGAATTGGTCCATAAATGTTGGATTCAATATATTTGTTTTTTTAAGTTATCAAGTTGAAAATATCCACATTTAATGACAAAGACAGAGAGTGTAATGTCTGTATACATGAAATGGATTTGAAATTTAATTTACTTTATAATATTCGTGAAGATGAATGAAATTGCTGAATACGCCTTAGTTTCATGGCTAAAGGTCTTCATTCAAATTGGAAATAGCCTTTGGCATATTTTTGTACAAACTCTTCTATTCAACTTTGCAACTGAAAAAGATAATATTTGAGGCTATTAGACAATTAACAAAAATTGGACTCAATGTGAAAGGATTTATTTTAGATTTAGGATCGAATTTTTATAGGCTTGAATGAAACTATGATTATCCATAAAAACCCATTTTTCTTTGTTGACGATAAAAAAAAGTTTTTTATTTTTTTTTTGATACTCCTTCACTTGTTAAAATTTACGAGAAATAATTTTTTTTACGATTATATAAAAAACGATGAATATATTAAACAAAAATCACTTAAAAAATTTATATGATATACATTAAACTGAACAGTAGACATGGGTAGACACACGAATCCTTCTATAATAGGAAGCTACAGTGATCAAATTGCTCTCAGAAAGTAGGTTCCAAGAAGCCATTTTTGCACGTTTACCAATCAAACCCATATATGATAGATGAAATCAAGCATTTTCTCTCAAATAATTTTCCAGAAGTGAAAGTAGAAAAGCTAAATTCGATACACCCCATTCAAGGTCATCATTGATGAAGTAACTTCGAGAAATCGTGGAAACCAGAAATGTGGCCTGCTGGTGCTCGAGTAAATAGTTTTTTCATTTAAAGATAACAGTCAATCTGCAGCATTAGATAAACGTCAGGATGAGTCTCACTTAGAGGTGCTAGAGATGATCTGTAGGAGTGACAATAAGGTGAATATTCTGCATATCAATATCAAGACTGTTGCGAATAAAATTGTTAAGATTCTTTTATTTTTAAGTGATAACAAGTATTTTTTTCCGATGCTCAAGCTAAGATACGAACCACGACAAAAAAATGTGCCCCGAAATCCCAGTCCAGATAATTTGCCCAGAGCAACATTAATATTGATAGAATCAAATGTTTTAGCAAGGTCAAAGAAGAATATCCAACAAACCTTCCGCGGTCCAATGCAATATGGACGTAATCAAGAAAAGCCACTGAGGCACTCGCCGTCGATCTTACAGGGCGAAATTCATGTTGATGCCTGATTGTACATGTTGTTTATCAAGAAAACCAAGTATCCTGGTATGTATGCATCTCTCAAAAATCTTACATATGACAGTTGGTACAGTAATCAGTCTAAAGTTTTCTAACAATGTTCGTCTGCCTTTTTTATATAATGGAGTGACAATACCAGTCTTTAAATCTCTAGGAAATATGCCATATTCAACACTTATGTTAATCAAATCTGAAAGAGGACTTGCAATAATGAGTCCTATAGTTTATATAATTTTTGTTGAGAAACAGTCAATGCCTACAGATGTAACGTTCTCTAAAGAACAAATCACACCAGACACTTCATGACCATCCACAGGGGCAAACTAAAAGTATTATTCTTGTTCATAGAATTAAAGTTATTAAAATAAGTGCGTTTAAAATGCAAGATTATGGCATTTTTTGCTGTAGATAAAAAAATTACGTTAATGCGTCAGTTATATTCTGCTTATTGTTAGTAATATTTCCTTGAACTTCAATCTCATTTATTGAGCTAGTTGTCATTTGTTTTTTTCGCTTCAGCTATTCTGCCTATATAATTTTTTTTAAAACTTTTATACTTCACGAGTAGTTCATCATGCGATGAATTGTTCTTTAACCAGAAAATATTTTTCAGTTCAACTCCCATCTTGATAATGTCATTACTGATCCATCCCAGGGTAGATATGTTATTAAGTTTTTTTTTGTTAGAGGACAAGTCAAATCTACATAATATATTATAGTACCAATAAACATATTAAACACCACATCAATATCGTCACTGCTAAAAACACACTGAAAATCTTCGTTACCTAGCCAATGTTGTAAGAAAAACAAACTTTGTTCAGATAAGTTCCTGAAATTAACATTATCTTCAATACTAAAATTCAAGACATTTATTTTGATATTCCTCAATACAATATCAAGACCCAAATGGTCACCAAGAATCAAGTCTATTACATTCTCTGTACAATCTGTAGAATAACTTGTTACAAAATAATCTAGTTTGGATTTTGTCACTTTCACATTCTGATCTCTAAAAATTCGAATACATTTAAAGTTTTGACATTTCAACCCAAAACTGTCCACGAAGTCAGTTAATGAAGATTTATCACTCGAGTCAGTTAAAAATTCAGTATTGAGATCACCACCAAGAATAACATAGTGCAAATACAAACGAAATACAACAGCACTCAAAATGTAGTTCTTCATTTAATCCATTTGCAAAGGATGGACTGAGACTTAAAATCCATGGTATTCTTAACAAGAATCATAACTCCTCCACAACCTTAATAGATCTATTAAAACAAGAGGCGATTTTGTAGGCATCAGAACAAAACTTGACTAGTAATTCTAAAGTTATCAAAAAAAAATCCGTTTGGTAATACAACAAAAATTTACAATTCCAAAGGTAATTTAATAGCTACAGCTTTTGTGAAGCAAAGAATATTTATATATTGGAATTGACCGATACTTGATGAAAATCCATAACTAACGTATTCAAAAAAAACTTTATTGTGAGATTTTCACTCAACAGTTTTACAAAAACGCAACACGTGTTTCGGGCGTGTGAAGACACGCCCTAATAAGCTATTTGATGTTAGTGATAAATTACGCATCATTTTAGGAATTACATCCAGAATGGTCGATAGTGCAAGCGGTCAAAAATAAAATGTTCGTGCCATTTATTATACAAAAAACATCAAATGCAAATCATTGAAAAATATTGAAATGAAATGAACATATTTATTGTTTCTTTGTATAGACCACCTGGTGGTTCGTTAAACGTCTTTATTGACAAATTTTGAAAGATTGTCAGAACCAACCTTAATGACAGCAATAATATCCCATTTATCACTGGATACTTCAATATAGAATTCAATGAGGAAAAAGGGGATAAAATTGGATCTACAAACACTAACTCAGTGTATTCAAAAAACACACTTTAATGTACCTATTCAAAAGTTTACAAAAGCAAGACAAGTGTCGCGTCTATTGTGACGCCCGAAGATGCTATTATATAGCAAAACACGTGTCGCGGTTTTGTGAACTTTCAAGTGGAAATCTCACATTAATGTGTTATAATATGGATTTTCATCAAGTATCAGTCAGTTCTATCATATTTTTACTGACACAGTGTTTTGCTATCCACAAAACATGGATGATGAATGGACACATATTACTTCAACTTTATTTCTCAAGTCTGTAAGTACTATCAATAAACAAATTCATTATTTCAACAATAATGAAATTATTGAATGGAATCTCTAGATGCCATGATGACTATATATGTGAATGATAAAATAAGTCGTCAGCAATACAATGAAGTGAAAAACAACTATGATATTTGCTTGAAAAAAAAAAATGAAATTCTAATAATGAAAATAAATGTGTGTGAATAATACTCTGAAATAACAGGAAGAGATAAAAATTCCGAATGTCAACTAAAAAGGGGATCCAGTAAGAAACCAATATTTGATTACATTTATGCCAGATTTGATATCAAACCTTCCACATAATCCATTTGAATGTTCAGTTGAATATGATTTTGAGTCAATGTTGGCAAAGTCAATATCTCCTCAAGAAGTTATAGAACTATCACAAAAACATGAAAATAAATACTTCAGTGATTATGATGAAATTCCTACATCTATGATGAGAAGTATACCAAGAATAAGTGAAATTATTTCACATATTATAAATAATCCCAGAAATTTGGTGTCTTTCCTTCAAGACTGACACTAATATGAAAGATCTGGAAGCCCAAAAACAAACTATCTCGAATCTCAACAAACAGGTAGATGAGCTATCATAAAAAAACTCACATTTGCAAGGTGAAATAAGAAACCTGGCATATAACTTGGAACAATTGGAAAGGGACATGAGTGAGTTCAACTACATCAAAAACAGTATGCTGACAACAATTGACACTCTAACGCAAGACAATAAGCTATACAAAAATGAAATAGAACAGCAAAAAGAAAAACGACTGGCATCAGAAAATCTTTGATACAGAAGCATTTGAGAAGGCAACAAGCAATACGAGTCTACGCCAAGAAAGTTATATTAATATCAGATTCCTGGGGAAGAAACATGATAAAGATCCTGGCAACACGAGTAGAAGAACAGATACTTTCTCCAGTCCATTCTCAAGCCAAACTGTTCTGAAGAGGAACTTATCTCAACAGCCTACACTAACGGAAAACATTTGACAAAAAAAGATGTTATGATCTTTTAGACAAATAAGCTAAGTACATCTTCAGTTGACACCCTTGCGATAAACTCCCAAAACACTAATTTTCTTATTATATCCGAACTATATCGTTATGATATAAATGTAAATAAATGAAAAATAACTTAAAAAATCAAGAGACATATGCACGATCAAAATTATAGTCATGTATCTAACTTTAGACAGGGTGGTTTTCAACCCAACAAAACTGGTAAATATTTTGTCAGCAGAGCAATTCTCAAAACCATTCAAGGTATTTTACATAATACACCCAAGAATATTTTTTTTTTAAAGTGATGTAGGAAATATTAAACAGAGCAGTAGTTTAAACAGTTCAGACTCAAATTGGACCGTTAATGAATAATCCAAAAATAAAAATACAAAAAATGGCTCGGCATTTTTTGTGACAAAAAGCCTCAGAAGTTCTCATATATTGCAATGAATTTACTAATTATTCAATCAGTCAGAAACAAAAATGATGAATTATATGTATTCCTAGAGAGTTTCAACTATCCAGACG